GGGGGGGGGGGGGGGGGGGGAAATCCGCAAGCCGACGCGGATGAGTCACGCGCGTTGTCAACAAGTGCCTAGCGCCGCCGTCGGTCGGTCGGTCTGGAGGCACACCGATGAACTCTGAAATCAGGCTCTGGAGTATAGGGCAAGAGAGGACCGGCTGTTCCTCGCCCTCTTCGCTGCTCCTTGTTTGAACTTAACGCACACTGCAATTACTCCTGCGCATTTCTTTATCTGAATGGTTCCTAGCGACGATTTCCTCGCTCAGACCCACGTAGTTTGGTCGTTCGAATGTGTTCTCTTGTTGAGCATGAAAGAAGCATCAGCGAAAATTCATTTCTCTCAAACATCGTGTCCGTTAGATTCAGTTGCAAACAAAATCATAAACTCAGCCACTATTCGTTGCGCCCGCTAGACAATCGTCTGCGAACGCAATCAAACTGCCGATCGTCTATATGATCTGTCAACATACTAACAAAATATCCGAGTAGTAATTAATCATTAAGCCCTCAAAAGGGCTAACATCAACGGAATCAGACTGATTTGAACCTGAAAACAGATCAATATCACCCCCTTGTTTCTTTTTTCGTTTTTCCGTTTTCCTTTTTATTTTTCATGTGAATAGGATAGATACTTCACTCTATTGTACCTCTGACGCTAATCCGAACCTTACCGTTGTATGTCGCTTCAACAATAGCCCAAAAATGAATAAATAAATAAATAAATATCCAGTGAGGTTGAGGCAAGACCAAAAGCAATCGTGAGTAATTTGACCGCAATTTCTTGTAAAGCTTAGCATTACATTATAGTTCTAATGTTTCCGTCATAAAAGTTCCACAAAATGCAATTTTATTCAAACAAACGTGACTCCGAAACAGACCAAGAACAGGGCTTCTAAAATAGGCTGTGCTGCGTATCTAGGTCATCAAGCCATTCCCTGTTCTTTATCCATAATCAATTCAAATAATGCAAGCATAAAGTAAAAAAGTAGTTTACAAAATATTATAAATTCTTCATGCGGACCATCTTCAACGTTACTCAGGTTCACGCACTTCTGCACCGACCTCAATGCTGTAGTAAGAACTTACGTCATGGAAAGGTGAACGCTCTTGCGTGTAAATCGTGAGAGACCATTTAATCGCAAAACCCGAGAACGAGATCCACACGTGTAGCTAGTCTTCAACGAGTGAGTGAGCAGCAGGCGTTGCCCTATTCGAAACATATCTCATCTGAAAGAAATCCCTTCATTTTCTTTATACCACCCATTATGTATTGATCAACATTCAAAAGAGGTGAAACATCAGAATAGATTCCTTGCTTAATCGATAGCGACTTTTGTTCCATGGAGTGGGCAAAACCATAAGGCTTTAGGATCAAACGCGTCTAACAATTCTCGTCCTTGTCGCTTTTGATGTGTATATTTTAAACTCCTGATACTTCACGTTATTGGCAAGCTCTCAGCATATAATGCCTTCGTCAGACCTTAATTTTTACAGTATATCAGTTAATTATCAGTTACAATACAAAACACATCAAAGCGTACCAAGTCAACTGGAACGATTAGGGAAATAGGGGAGTGGACCTGTCGGCGGGGAGCTAAAAAGGAAAATGGACGCCGCTCCTTTCCTAAGGCGATAAATGCTACGTGTTATTAGACAATCAGTCTCAGGAGGTCACCTATCTCTCCTTTCGCATTTATTTCCGACATGATGCGGTATATTTCCTGGGCTTCAAACATTCTTCTACCAAATATCTATGCAAAACCCTCACATCGAAAAATGGAGCGTTTTCGTTCTCATGCCTAAGTATACGGTGTCTGGAAAAACTACTGTGTGGGTAGGCACTGGTATTGGCCAACGCTCTTCTATGTTCATCCGGGCGGTTCTTCAGTGGTCTCGCAATTTCCCACGCGTACTTTTCTAAACATCCCCACATTGAATCAGACGGTGCCCTGAAGTTCGCAGATCTTATCAAATACACAGTATCGACGAAACCGTTCATCGTCCCTCGTCTCGTATTTGTAAGAAGGATCCCTTATGATATGATATCCCGTTTCTCAAAAAACTAGGAACTGCTTCAGGTCAAAAAAGTAAACTTGGTTTAATTCTCAACCCATGCAACCTAGTTATTCAATAGATACTGTTTGGTTGCATCATGAGTGCCTTTCCCTCAAATGGAAAATTTCCTATATATTCTCGAGCTTCCAGGATATATCTGATAGTCGAAAAGAAGTATTCAATCGCAGACTCCTCCAAAATTTCTGTCGGCATTTTTCAACACAGAAACCAGTAACCAGTCCACCGGTGGGTCTTAATTTAAAGAGTGATTAGGATGCAACACCAAAACATGTGTCCTTGCCCAAGCTCCTTTCTCGATGTGTGGTATATGTACCAATACCGTTTTGAGAACAAGCCATGGGGAATCTTGATGAAAAACCAAATCAGATGACATGTCAAATAACGTTAAAGTAGAACTCTGGGGAGCTCGTGACCGAGGAAGACGCTCTTTTTCGGTGAAAATGTAGTTGAGGAGAAAGAGAGGT